GGCCGAACTATAATGGGCTTGCTAAAAAACCCCTCTTAGTTCCAACAGAGAAAAAAGAGTTTTTTAAAAAAAATCTCAAGAACGGAGTTATATTAATGATAGTCGAGACCAGATACGAAAAGCCTAGGGGCAGGAGGTTCAATTAACGAAATTAATATACGAACTTCCGGTTTGGACCGGAAGTCACATTATTTCAATTCAAAATTTTTTTCCTGAACGGTGATAGATGATCAATGATCATCTATCACNAATTCTTCGAAATGGATGTCCGTATTGTCTGACCACAAGATTCCAATAAGGATCTAAAAATAAAAAAAAAATAAAAAAATTATCGTTGATTATAAGAACGTGTAAAGAAAAATACAATGCATTTCTACTTACTTGATAAATCGTCATACGTATAAAAACGGTGATAGATGATCAATGATCATCTATCACCGTTAGATAACGAGTTAGATAGATGATCAATGATCATCTATCTAACTCCGTTAATGATGATAGATGGCATGACTCTACTGCTAACAGGAAAAGTATGATTTACAGGGGCAAGACACTACTAAAATTGAAAACATTGTGACTAAACATTGGATCCTGGCATTATGACGATGTCACAAGAAATAATTATTCGTTGTTCTTTTTCGTTTAATTGTATCAAGTTATATATTGTGCAATTATACATATTCAGCTATACCTGTATATTAACACTACCTCGAATAATTCAAATTATAATTGTTAACCGAGACTAATAAATAAATATTGCAATACAATGATTTGGAAGAGTTTTATTATAAGTTATGCTTTGTAGATATTCTAACAAGAAGAAATTTTATTAAACTTTTGTAAATTTTGACATACCATATGTGATTTCAATTAAAAATTTTAAAACATTGTATAGAGTATAGCTTTTGATTTTTTATAAAACATCAATAATTAAATTAAATATAATGTATGTACAGTATATTATTATCTTATTCTCATGCTTCAGAACTTTGTTAAAAATGGCGCTGAAGTATTCTGCAAAAAATGATATCTATTTTAAGGCTTTTGTTACTGATGTTCAAATGGAGGAAGTTAATGTAGCCTTTGAAAGTGACTGGCAATCAGAAAGTAAATTTCCTTTCCGACGTGCAAGGTTTTACCACTATCCATAAAAGAGTAAAAGAATCTGAAAATATGGTTGAAAGCCAGGAGATTGAAGTTTATCCTCGAGAAATTGAACAAGATTGACAATATAGCTATATTTAGTAATTATATCGTTCATGTAAAGTATAAAGTTTTGGAAGAAATAAGATTTCTCCGTAGATACCTGCACCGAATGGTAGTTTTAGGTCTATCAATATACAGTCGACCCCTCTATAACGCGGGTCCATATAATGCGGATTCGTATATTGCGGCGAAAAATTGCGACCCTATTCGTATAAAGACGCTAAAAGAGACTCGTAAAATGCGGTAAAAAGTCATCGCCGACTCGTGTCGCGACAGGATTGGTCGAATCTGGATCAATAATGGACGAGCAGCCGAACTTACACGCTACGGAGAGTTTAGGCGGGTAATTTNTATTATTGTTAATGACTTTGATATGTATAGGCCTACATAATAACAATTCAAAAACAATATTACCTAAACTATAAATCATAATGTAATAATTATTTTAGTAAAATTATTCAGGATTTTTTGCAATTACCCCAAACCATTTTAAAATTTTACCCTTAATTTCTCAAAAGGCAATCAATTTTGCAAATACAACAGTGATATATGGATACACTCTACATGTAAACTCATACAAATCATTATTATCCGATCTACCCAATTCTCGTCTCTTTGCCACTAACAAATTATCATTTTTCCTTCAGGAAATTCGATATTCCATAGATAAAACCTTTCCGCTAAACTATAATCCTGACTCATCCGTCCTCTGTAAGAAAATTAGACCTATAGCCGCTACCATTTTCTGATATATCTTCCTTTTAATTCTTAAAAGTAAATATGCCCCAACCAATGATATTCATCTACATTAAAAAGCATATTTCTTATCCTCCTATATAAATATCTTCTGCTACGTTAAACATATTCGAAATATGCATGTACAATCAAATATACACACAAATAAATCAGTAAAATATTTTATAATCAGCACCCTGGGCTTTTTCATCATTCTCTAGCCTTCTAAATATCCAACACAAGAAAAATTATTCATTTATATAGTTTAGTTAGACACATTCCTATAATTATCTCAACGCAATAATAACTTCGTAGTTAACCCGAACATCCTACAACATGATCTATATAAACTTTCAGACAGCTTCCATAATCTTAATTTCACCATTCATTAATCTAAACAACGTTGTAACCATGTGTTTGCCTTGTTAAGATCCTGTCCTGATTTTACGTTCAAAATTTGCAATCATGATCCTACTTTTGTCAATGCAATTAATGACTTAGGTATTTTAGTCGATGATAAACTTGCCTAAAGACATCATATTGATAAAATAATAAAAGATTTGGCAATACGAAGAGGTATAATGTGGAGAAATATTAAACACATTTCATCCAAACTTTTCCTACGCACCTTAAATGGTGAATTTATTTTACTGATTTTCCTGAAATTGCTCGTACACAATTCGGTCTTCCAAACATATATGATATAGAATTCCGTATTATGATACCCGTTGCCTGTTTGTCCTTCGTTAATATCGAGAACGGAGTTATATAGATGGAGGTCGAGACCCAAATATGGAAAGCTTAGGAGCAGGAGAAGTCGATATATAAATGTTCAGTCTGAACTGGAAGTCGTGTCATTTCAATTCAAAAATTTTCTCCTGAATGGAGTTAGATAGATGACTCCGTTGTTAGCAGGAAAAGTATGATGTACAGGGACAAGACACTACTAAAATTGACAGCATTGTGACGAAAAATTGCAGCGTGGCATTATGACAATGTCAGAATAATTGCTGGTTATATATAAATTTATATATATATATTGAGTTACTTCCTCCTACACATCTTCGTTCATAAATATTTTATTTAATTTAATACTGATAATAATCCTTGTTTTTATCCCAGTTTAGACTTATCACAAAGTAATTTTTTAAAATAGATTTATAAATTCAATTAAAAATGCTGAAACTCTTTTGTATTTAGAATGTTATAAATTTTAAAAGACATTGTAAAAAATCCTTTATTTTTATAGTTTATATGTCATCTTTCTTTTTTAAGCGTAAACTTTATAATGTTTATTTTTACAGATTTTAATTAGGTGTTTCTCATTGTAAATGTTGAAGTATTTTACTCATTGGGCATTACCATATATCTTTTGTATAAAAAGTAAATAAAGAATAATGAAACTGCAGAGGGAAAAAATACTTTTATAAACAAATACTGAATATGAATTGTTGTAATTGACGTGATGTACGTTTTTACATTGCTACAGCATAAAAGATTTTACATTATTTTATTTGATCTTCAAAAGCTTTACCTAATCTATAAAGAAGATTTTATTTTTATCTATTCTAAGAATATAAACAATGGGAGGAAAGGAGATTCGCTAGAAATAAGAAGCGAATGCAGGACTCTAAATGGAATGACCGAACTTTAAACTTTATTATCCTATTTTCAACTGTTTCTAAACACGATAAAGTATATTTCCATGTATATTTAGCACGATTTATTTCCATGTCTTAACTAAAACACATTTATCAATCCAATTTTTAAAAATTCCGTATAATTCTGTAGAAACGTGTTGGAAAATTAGTAAACTTTGATTTACTACAGTAAAACAAAATAGCTTATTCAGAAAAATCCCTCAAGCACTTCATAATAAACTAGGAGAACAAACCAATTATTGGAAATTAAATAAGAAGAAAGAGATTTAACAGAAGATTAAAACTCATTCTTACTACACTAAGAATTGAACATTCTCAATTGCTTCACCATATCTTAAAAGACAGAGATCAACACGTAAGCCAACACTGTAGTCTAAGTATAAACGCTTCTTGACTGAATGCAATGTGTTTAATACTGGACTTCTACAATACAAAAGAATTGAAGATTTGTCTGTTATATTGAACCGGAAACCAAACTTTGTTTCTATTGTAGATTCTTTTAAGCCAAAAATATTATGAGACTAATTTAGCCATTTTACATACCCTACTTGAGTTTTATAATTCGTATGATATACTGTATATTTCCAGTGTAATATATGTTCTTAGCCTTTGGCTTGGATCTTTGTAGATCTTTATAGATTTTATTCCAAAAACTTCAGTCTAACCAATCAACCATTTCTTAATAATAAACAAATTTTTTGTAATGCTTTATTAAAGAGTTAAAATATTTAACATGATTATCGTCTAGTAGCGTAAGTTTTATCCTATAGAATAAATGAAATATTATACGGATTAACAAGTAAGATCGGGAGGAATAAATCTTCAAATGCTCATTCAGACTTGAAGAAACTATAAATATTTCAAATTCTTAACCATCAAAAAACTGCTTTTTGCCTTATATCAATATAAGAATTAATTAAGAAATGTAAGCGTTTTCTTGTAAATTAATTAAATTAAATAAACCTCTTTCAATAGAGCATTTATAAATAAGAAAAAATTAGAAAACATAATAATTTAAATTTTACAATGAAATATTTAAAACAATTCTCAAGTTTAAGTATTAATAATTGTTTAATTCTATTGATTTAGAAAGTAAAAGGCTTATAAAGACATATTTAAATGCTTTACCATACAAAAATAATTAGTTTTTACACTCACATAGACTATAAGAGAGTATGTAGTAACTACGGTATACAACTTTTGACATTTGGTTTATTTATTTATTTATTTAAGAATTAATACAGATTATGCCTTTCTTCTGTTAGCATATCGCTTAAAGTGTATTCTACTTATTTTTATTCATTTAGCCAATAGCGATTCATTTCAGCGCGAATAATTTATTTCTGTTTTTCTTCTCGTCTAAACCGAATGTCGGATAATCCATAGGATTACGTAACGTGGGCGAATGCTAACGGTATATAAGCGAGAATTCCTTCGTTTAGTTACCATTCCTAAACAAGAAGTAGCATCAGCATGAAGACAGATGTAAGTCGCTCGTTTAATTCAATTAATATATGGAAAACGGTAGATTAATTTAATTAGATTTTAATACATCAATATATATTTTTAATGACATCAATTTTTAATAAATTATAAATTATATTTCACTTAAAAGTTAGGTTAAATCATTGCAATTATTTTAATAATCTTAATGAAAATTAGTGATGAAAAATGCTATCGGGGATAAGAATTTCAATTATTTTAAATTATAATTTATTTATTATTCTTTTGCAAATAAAATAATTTTAAATATTTAAAAACTAACTTGTTTATACGTGTTTAAATGAAGTTAATTTAAAATTATCTTAATTTTTCGACTTTGTAATTAATTTTTTATCGATGTCAATGATTATTTTCAAAATTATATCCATTTTCGGTTAGCCTAAAGGTGTTTTTTATCTTTAGTTAATCCCTAAGATTTATTTAGTTCAGGAAAAACAAGATTATTTTTTGTCTGCCGGTCAATCTTTCACTGACAGAACAGTCGATAATTTCTGTATTGGCAGATGAAAAATGCAATGATGTTGTTTACTCCGATACTTTATCCATTAATCTAAGAAAATTGTTAAGTAAACAAACTTAAAATATCAATAACTCGATAAATTTTTTACAGCAAATCCTTTACTATTATTAGAATCTATTATTTTTAAATTTAACTAAAAAAATAATATGTATTTATTTTTAAAATTTAAGGTTCGTTCTACATTACTTTGCCTCACTTTTACATGGGTATGCATGGCACATTTGGTTTCTTCTTCTCCATTCCAACATCGTTCCAATGAACGAAGAAGTATAAAGGCTTGTGGTTCCATATTGGCAGAAACGGTTAGATTGGCTTGCAGCACCATAACCACCACACCCATTCCCGAGGACAAGAGATTTGCTTACAACTACGATGATCTTTTATGTGCGATATATTTCTTAATATTGATTTTTTTTAAATTCATTCGTAATCATAAAATCTTTTTATTTTTTTCAGATCCTGATTTGAATCTTTTAAGTAAATCATATGGATTTGCGAATCCGAGATTGGCTTCTTCGTTCCTCTCCCAACAGAATAAGAAGAGAGGAATTGTAGACGAATGCTGCCGGAAGAGTTGTACTTTCGAACATCTTCTTCTCTATTGTCCTACGTAATCTACTAATTAAATACATTTTTTGTAATATTTTTAAATCGAAATGCGAAAAAACGTGAACTAATTTGAATTGGAAACGTGATTGAATCTAAATTTTTGTTTATTTGAAAATAAAGCATGCATAAATTGGAGAGATCTTTGAATTTCTTAACATTCGCTTCATTCCGTTTCCTGGTAGTTTGGATCAGAGCACTATTCCTTCATTCTTCACCTGTACTAATCTCTTATGAATCAATATTGCTTATCAAGCCCGAATAGGATCTTAAAAAATAAAAAAAAAGACAGTTAAACTGCTGATCAGTTTGCCTCACAACTCCAAAAATCTGCAATTCTCATAGAATAAAACAACAATTTTCTCTTTACAATTATATCCCCCTTTGCGGAGTTTTCTTGGTGCGCGGAGCAGCTATAAATCCAAATTAAAAAATATTTCATTTAAAAAACAAGAATTTATAAAAGTTTATATAATCCAGTCAAACTTGAACGGTCTCTTCATAAATTGTTAGTATGGTACGTACGAATTAGTCCTTGACAGGGTTCCTAAATAACTAGTACGATCATAGTCTCATTGAGTTCATTAAAGTATTGTACATAATGTTTCTTATTACTGAAAGTTCATTATAATATGCGTAAGAATTATACGCAATTTTACGCTAAGAAATTATATATTAATATTTAAATATGACAGGTGACATGGAAGAAGTTTCGATACTTTCGTATAGATTATCTCTTATACGAACTCCTTTAAGCACTTTAAGCGACAATCTATCGTTGATATTTATAAAACCGTATTTTTTTAAAAAAGAAAGATATTTGGAGGTTTATATTTTTTTTTCAAAAA